TTCAAGCAGCACTTATCCAAGATTCTATTTTATCAGAAATATGACCGTTAATGGTTAACTTCGGTAGATATGACCCTCAACCTCTCTACAAAATATTTAAAAATGTCCTCAGTGGAAAGTTTTCAAATGTGCGCACTGACTTGATGAGTGTACGTATAAATGCTAAGCATTTCAGCGGTATGCCCTAAAACGTTTTAAATTATTTGAAATCTAAGAATTGATTATAAGATCTTTCTCATTTTACGAAAGAAATATCGCTTGACTAATTATGGGCCACTTAAAGTATCTACCATTGACAAAAATAGTACAGGTTTCATCCTATTCCGAGAAGAATTTCAGTGAGAAAATTTGAATATAGTTCTAAGGCTGTTGAACGTGGAATTATATTTTACGAGTCAGTATAAATCTGTCATTAGGTGAGGCTTGATCACAGGTCGTCTCTCTCTATGGGCTTTCTTTATGTTGGTGGTGTGGAACGGGAAGAAAGAGAGTGGCAAGCTCTTTGCAGAGTGACGGCTAGCAGCATTTCTTTCCCTGGGGCTTGTAGCGCCTCTCGGGGTCTCAATGCTGCAGTCGCGACGAGAGATGCTGTAACTTCTTGGGTGCTGGTGGTGAGGGCCCCTGCAAAATAGAGACCAGGAGTTTTTGGTCAATCTGCTAGATGGCTTTTCAGCTGACCGCATATTGGTTGGTATGCTCCATGTCAAAGACTGAGAGCAAAATTCCTTTTCGATCTGAGAGTGTTGCCTCCCTGCCAACGTGAGTGCGCTACTCGCAAATTTCACTCGTTGACCATGCTGCATCAGTAAAAAGCCAACCCCGTCTTTAGGCACGTTTCCTTGCCCTGTATTGGGTTACTCTAGCTGCCGTACCGCTTTTTGAAAACAGTTTCTTCATTTTGATCTTTCTTTCTGGTATTGCATCCGGATCCACTCGCCATTCTTGTGTGTCAGGCAGTGTAGTAGCTGTCACATTTCCAATAGTTTGTAGGAAATTAAACAGGTAAATCAGTAGCCTTATAAATCCCTGCAATACTGGCATATCTGCAGGTCGCTTCATCTTCACTATTGTGTCACCTTTTCTTTGATGTACCTATCCTTCGCTCCAGTTGATTTCGAACTTCTCATTAATTAGTTTGATGTATTTTGCTCAACAACGGTTTTTTCTATTATGAAATTTCTTTAGCCGTCGTAAATTGTGATCGTCTTGCCAGCCAAGCAGTGATTATTTCAAAACTCCAAGACTTTATCGGTTCTACTTTTCTCTTCATTGGAGGCAAAGGTTAAACCAGAGTGGATATCGAAGGCTTCTTGCATGGACATGTAATAAAAATCGATAGTCGTCCAGCTCTCGGTGTAAATCGAGTGTAAATTTTATTCAAGCTTTTTCTTTTAATTCTTTGGTAGATCTCTACGAAGATCTAGCCTCGGAGGAACTGAAACATTAGAGGTGAAGTGAAGATCGCTGCGGTGTTTGGGGCGTTAGTGCAACCGATGTGCTGCTGTTGCTATCTGCTCGTAACCCTATATTTTTCAAGTTCGGTAACCCTGTCTCGGTCTAAAGTCAGCTCAAATTCGATGAAAACTCAGTTAAAAAGCTGTTATATGTATTGCTGAGAAGTCAGTTAGGGTGATTTAGTGAGAGGAAGGAAACTTCCGCTGACAACAGTACACGTATCACAAGTACTTGTAATAAACTGGGTCGAGAACGTCGCCCCATTCAGTTGTGTTTCAGAAGTGACTCAGTAGCCGATGCAAAGACAGGTCAAAGCTATATTTGTTCGTAAACATCCTAAACCCGGCTCTTTAAAGATCGCCAAAATAACTTTTCGGTTTCAAGGAAAACGAGATTTTCTTCTTTGAAAGTTATGCAATAAGCGCAAATACAGGATAATTATAGATACGGCAAATAAGACGTTATGATGAGTTCACATGGGCGATTTTAAAAACTCTATAATTATTCAACTCAGTCCAGTTAAATTTCCTGTATGTTGATTCACCTATCAAATATTACAGTTACCTAAACAAGCTGTTTCTGAGATTTGTATCACTGTCACTTTTCTTCACAATTTTATAAAGTACAATTGACAAATCGTCGTCGTTTTTCCCCTTGTTTACTGAATAGTTCTTATCATTAGTAGGAAGCACCACCTTGGTAGAGTTGCAATGGATTTTGAACGTATTTACTGCGAGACCATGTAGAAACCAAGCAACGCCAGACGACAAAGTTGTTTACAATGAGTTGTTATTTAACGATGAAATAATGAAATTAACTCAAACTAGTTTCCAATGAAATGGCTATGCTGAGGATTAAGACTTCGTCTCGGTTTGTTTGTTTGCCTTTTTTTCAGCGATTTAAGTCATTCAAGACTGAGTTAAATTGATAGATTCAGAAAGTAGTGTCGGAACTATATTGATTATCATTTTCTTTTGTAGCTTGAGAATGACTTTCTTGTCTTAGTTGTCATCGGCGCTGATTAAAAATTTAGGACATTCAAAAGGTGCAGACCCGAATCAATTCTTAAGAGCGACTTTCTGTAAAATACCACGGTTAGTGGGAAAGATGGAAAAATTGAAATCTCTCAAACTTTGTCATATTAAAGCCCTTATGAAACTATTTTAGAAAATACAAGATTCAGTTTCTTGTGACTGATATTTTCCAAAAAAAAATATTTTTTGGAATTTTCACCTTCGAGAGGCCCTTAAACCACCGAAAAAGGTGCTTCGCATCCTCGGGTGGTGAAAAGAAACAGAATCAAATACCATGACTATTGCGATATAAGATGAGTTTATGACCCTGCATTTGTATGAA